TGTATTCCCACTTCATACCATTCAAAAACATTGATTTCCGATGAAGTACGTACTGAAATGTGAACAGAACAGCATCATTAAAACTAAGAAGAAAATATAGGAGAATACCTTTGTCTTTGAATCAGGGAAAGGTTTCTTAAGATATAAAAGGTACCAGCAACATGAAAAATATTTTTGACTATGTAAATTTAAGAACTCCTGCTTACTGAAAAAACCTAAATAATGTACAATAACAGTTACAATTCAGGATATACTGATAAAACATAAGATTAAAAACAGATTAGTATCTGGCATATTTAAAGAACTACAAGTCACTAAGAAAACAATGAACAATCTAATAGAAAAGTGAGTAAAAGACATGAATAGCATTTCACAGAAGAGGAACTGTAAGTTAAAAGCATGATTGGATGCCATTATATCCCTGCCCGTGGGTAGAAGACAAATGGTGACAGTTTGGCGGTGTGTGTGCTGTGATCCCACACTGATGGTAAGGGCCACCCTTTGGCACAGTGGCTTTGAAGATACATTGATGTCACCTGGTAAGATTGAAGATGAACTTCTCCTTTTATGTATTTATTAGCCTTACTCCTATCCTAGAGAGCAGTGGTTTTCAAACTTTGGACCATAACCCACACTGTAAAATTTTACAATGAGACTCAGCACTAATATGTGTATGTATTTTTAGGACAGATCATCATCAGCAAACATTTCTTATCCTTCTTGTGTTATATACTAAAATGTTCTGTTCTCTTTCACTTAAACAGTGGCTGTCACCAGTTTCTAAACAGATTTAATAATGAACTGATAGGATGTGCCATTACAAAACTTTTACACATGTATACAGATAGATGTATACAAAAATGTTTATGGTGTTTATCATAGCCCAAAATTGGAAGCAGCCCAAATTCTACTGATGAGAGTAAATAATAAAACAATTTAGTATTCGAAGCAATGCAAATGAGGTGTAGTTTATACATAAAAGTATCGATGAATCTTAGAAACATAATGTTGAGTGAAAAAAAAGCAAGTCACAAGTTTATAATAAGGATGAAGCAGTTTTCAAAAAACTCAGCGATAATGTTTATGACCACAATTTATGGAGGATTACACTCCTAAATTTTTATATTTTAAACACACACACACATACACACACATAGACACACATTGAAATTCACTGGTTTTGGGTTATTTTGGTTTCTCTGTGAGAAAAGATGTTATATAATGTTATAATGTATATTTAACTAGATGTAGCAAATTCTTGTTACATTAGTTACATGGAAAATAGATTATAGGTGGATAATAATTTTGAGCTCATGTATTTCTTTCCAGAATAAACATACACACACATTTGTTAACATCTCTCTCTATTTTTTGGTAAATATATTATTAACATACCTATATGTTTTTAATATAGATATTCTAGAATCTGCTATCACCGTCAAAAACATGTGAGCCTTAGGAACTCAGATAAATTATTGATTATGCCTTTGAAATGAATAGTCAAAACTGACTGAAATTTTAAAACCCTCTGTAGTCATCACTGTAGACCAGCGTTTCTAAACCTTTTTCATCTCATGGCACACGTAAACTAATTACCAAAATTCTGTGGCACACCAAAAAATATATTTTCTTGCCTATCTGACAAAAAAAATGTATAATTTTGATTTCATTCACACCGGACGGCTATTGTCATGTTGGCTGTTGTCAGTTTTTACTTGACTATTTAAGGGAAAAGGGGCACTATCAGGGCCCCTGACTAAATAGTCAGATATTACATATTTGAAAAATTCTCATGGCACACCAGCTGGAAATAGTCGCTTTAGGCTGGTAAGCCCACAGATCTTTCAGATAAAGGCATGCAGCAGGCTATACCCAGGAAGCTGTGCAAGCACACAAAACACTTTTGGCGTTGCACAGCTGAAAGTAGTTGGTGGCAGTGCAGTTTATTTGCCAATTGAATAAATAGAAAACCAGGTCAAGAGTAAGATAATTTAAAAAATCAATGTCTTATACCTAATTATCTTTATGTATGGCTCACCCTTAACTTTATTTTCTGGCTTTGACTTTAGGATTAAAGTACCCAAAAGGCAATTGTTTTTAAAATAATGTGGTCTTCTAACTATTCAGCTTTTCTATTTTAGGCTACTTTTACTTCTCAACATTTAGAATAAAAGAAAATCCCAAATTACTATTTGAACTGGAATATTAGTTTTAGACTAAATACCTATTTCTATGCTGTCTATTGGTATTTTTCCAACTAAATTCTCCTAATAGTTATAATGTCAGAATAAGATATGTTTTAAATGAGATAGGCTTTTAAATGAAAATCAATAGTGCGTTTTCCATAAAACAGAATAGCTTTAAGAACTACTTCAGACCTTATTTCTAAATATAAACATTATTTTTATAGGTCCTAGGAAGTAATTTTGACATTTTTTTTGCCCAAAGGAATACTAAAAAGGTGTGGCAATTATATCTGGTAATAGGTAGTCTATTAAATGTTCTCATTGAAATGCATCCAGTCATTAAAGTGGAAAATTCGCATCAGAAAATTTTGTACTTTATTAAGCTTCATAAATAAGCTACATGAGATACTCACTTTCCTCAAGCAAGAAATACGGTTTTGATTTCTGAATATTTATCTTTTTCTCCACCACAATCTGCTCTTCCCACGCCATCTTTCTCACATACACACACATTGGTGCACACGCACACACACATACAGATACACACGCCTTTGAAACCAGGCTTTTTTTTTTTTTTTTCATGTTGCTTTCTATCTTCCAAGCTTATGTTGATTTTTTTCACAACTCTTGTCTTATCGCTGGCACTTACCATATGCTACCATAATATGAAGCAGCATGGTGGACAAAACATAGATTATAGCTAGCTCTCAAATCTTGCCTCTGCCTCTTACCATGCTCATTACAGTGAACAAATACTTAACCACTCTGCTCCAGAACGGAGAATACAGAAGCCATTTTGCAGATTGGAGGGAATGCACACTGAAGCATTTATCATTGAAGCTGGTATTTCCTAGCTTAGCAACAATAATGTGTTAATGCATACTGTACTGCTCAGAGTATGAGCATCTACCTTGTTAGCCTGCCAGCATTCCACGGATGTTGGCAGAAGACACAAGACTGTGGGGTCAGAGACAAAGCACAGTTTATTACAGCAGTAGCAGTAGCCAGAGCAAAAAAATTTGGCAATTCCTGAGCCCAGATTTCCACAGGGCAATGTTATGAGGGCCAGGTGTGACACCTACATTCTTAGTAGTCTGTGTTACAGGAGAAAAATCCTGAACTTACGGAAGCCAGTCTTTTCTAAGAAGTGATAAAACTATCCAGTCTGCTCCCCAGTTTACCATACTGGACAGCAAACAAATCCATTTACTTAAGAGGAAGACAGGACCTCCATTTTCCAAGACTCTTTATTATGCAAATATCTTTGAAAAGAGAGTTTGAAACAAAGGTGTTTCGATTAGTACTTTTATCTCAGAGTGCTTGGTCTTATACTTTCTTGCTTGAAAATCTCCAGTCATTTTCCAGTTTCCTTAGAAGAAAATGCAACTAGCCTGGAAAACCAAAAATGCTAAACAGTCAGGCCCCAGCAGACCTCCTGACCTCACCTTACACCCTCTACGGGTTGTCTGTCTCTCAGACCTTCCAGCAGCCTTTGCATTTGCTCTCCTCCCCCCTCCCCCCACCAGATCATCACCTAGCTCGCTCCTTGCCCTTCAAAATCCAGCTTGTGTCACATCAGTGTGTGAGGCCTTACTGACAGCCCGATGTAAAGTAGCTCCCCAGGCATTCTAGCATATCGCTCCATTTTTTTAATGTTACTGTATTTATCAAATATTTATTGTTTATTGTCTGCATTGGCCTCTGCTCTGTCCCACCCTATCACGGAGCATGTAAACCTGTTTTAGAGCTATACACATATCTCATCTTTAAAGAGTACCATTTACTACTTAGTCTCTCAATAAGTATTTATTGAATGAATGAGTGGACGGATGGGTGAATTACTCTATGCTGTTTACCCTTTTTTCCCCCTTGTGCTTTTCCTTTCGTTGTTTTAATTAATAATATTACACTTTATTATTTGATTTCTAATTAAAAACTTGTGCTATTTCTAGAGTTAAAAAATATTACAGTAAAAGGGGAATTAACACCTTCCCTGAAATAAGATAAGCCACCTTCTTGCTAAAGTTTAACTATTCCTTTTCCTATTTAATACTATTAGTGATTAGATAACCTGTTTGGTTTCATTGGTACTGAGAATACAGTCTCTATAGGAGATTGTAATACCATACTATGCTGTTTTTTGGCACTTAGAAAAATCCGCACTTACCAATTCCTACTAATGCCATGTGAGAAGTATTTATTGATTTGTATAAAACTTAGAAAATAAATTAACTGATCACATATCTATTGAGATCTTATTTTTCACAAGTTGTTATTCGTTTTGATGAATAGTCAGAGAGTCTGCTTTGGAAATGCCAAATATCTCTTTAGTCATCCTTATGACACTTCTCTCTATATGAGAAAAACTGTTAAATGATTGTAGTATAAAGGAGACATTTCAAAATTTCAGCTCCTTTTTATTATTTGTTCAACTATTTTACTTGTACTCAATAGTTGACTTAGCAGAGATGGTATGGGAGGCTCTAATACAAATGTATTCTTTTGGAAATATATGTAGAGAAACAGTTTTGATTTGTAAATTAAATGGTTTTATTTTTAGTTCTTGTCTCCCTTCTCTTAGTTGATTACACTAAGATACAGGTGCTTTAAATCTAAAAGTTGTATTTGTAAGTAAATGACACATTTAACAGGGGTTTGTGTGCTAATCTTCTAAATGATTGTGTTACTAATAAAATAAGTAACCGTTACTTAAAAGATATTTATGTACAGTTTTACAGATTAATAATTTTCCATTTTCTTTGTGGAATGACTGTGGTTAAAATTTATCATTTTTTCAAAATTAATTTGCTATAGCAAGCAGTAAAGGAAAATGTCAAAAAACGAGAAGCAGAGGAAAAACAGAAACGTGCCAGAATTGCCCAAGAACTGGCAGAAAAAGAAAGACTTGAACGTCAACAAAAGAAAAAACGCTTATTAGAAATGAAGACTGGTAAGTACTATCCAGTTTGCTATTTATATTATGTATACTTAAGATTTATACTGGTTACTTTGTGCATGTGTTTCAAAGTATCTTTTAGAAATTCACTAAAATTTTATAGCTGAAAAGATGTAATATCTTGGATTTCAGTCAAAATAGTCTAGTGTGACTGGAAAGCTGGCGGCTTGCATCTGTAGATGAAACGAGAGTGGCTCTAAGTAATCATTGCGGCAGTTGGGCGATGGGTGGTGAAGGGAGGCGTGTATGTGCTGCACTATTTACTTTGGTATATTTTGAAATTTTCTTCAATAAAAAACTGGTGGAAAAAGTTAAAAAGAAAAGAATAGCAAAATTAGAGCTTTACAGATACATATTTTTTACAGATATATATATATATATATATATTTTCCCCAAAGTTAAAAGATACCACAAACTTAAAAGCAAAAGAATTAAGTAAATTGTAGTTATGTTTCACCCCCAAAATTTTGGCTCTTCTACCTCTAACTCACTAAGGATTGCAGAAGCCTTTAATTAAAATTCATCAACTTCATTTCTAAATTACCATAGTTTACAATGCAAGGCGGCTGCAAATTCACCTCAGGTTTACCCAGGGGTACATGCCTTCTTGCCTTCTTGCCTTCTCTCCTTTCATTTTTACAGACATATTTTATCTTTAATAAAGCAAACTGAGTACCTTAATGTATCACACTTATTTCTTCCAGAGGAAAAAAAAATCATCTAAACACAATTTCTTTAAAAGTACAGTTGAAATTCGGGAAGTGTCCTGAGAAATATCTTAAAGTATAAACAAAAATAGAGGAGATTAGAAACGTTTATCATTGATTTTTTAAATACGCTTCTGAAAGTCATCTTGAAATAGTCTATTATTGCCTGGTTTATGAAACATTCTGCTGTCGGAACATTAGCTCATTTAGTGTTGGTTAAAGAGTCCTCCAGATGAGTTTCTTGATGGCAGGTTGGCTGTGGTGTTTGTTGTGGGTGTTGCCTGAGGACGTGCCACACAGCCTCTCCCAGCTCTCTGTTCCGTCACTCTGTCACTCCGGAGAGCTAAAAACCTGATAAGAAATAACCATTTCAATGAAACTTTAAATCCAGTGCAATTTTAATAATAATTTTATTTAAATTTCTGTTTTTCCTGATAGAAAGTTCCAGTTTCATGAATAACTAAGTTTTGTTTTTCCAATTTAAATATAATACTTTTGTGTTGTGGAAAACACCTAAAAAATAGTAGATCTGAAGATCATCACCAATCCTCCTATCCAAAGAATTACTCTTAATATTTTGTTACATTTTTCTTTCAGTTTCAGTTTGTTTTTGCCTTTTAATAACAGCTATATGATCCTGGTGAATATACAGTTTAGTGTCTTGCTTTATCATGATGAACTTTTTGAATGTTTTGTGCTATCCTTTATTGTGATTCTTAATTTCTCTGTCATTGAATCCACTGGACGTTATACTAAACTGAACTTGATTGGTCTGTAATGAAGTCATAGAACAATAGTTATTTCCATCTATTCAATGTGGTAAATGCATTTATGCATAAATAATTAAAATGCAATTATTAGGATATGGAGTAGAAAAAGATAGATATCCTTTAAGACTTTTAATACATATTGCCAAATTGATTTTCAAAAGTATTATTCTAATTTCACCAACTCTCAGCATGAGTTAATAAATATGCCTGGGTTGAGTATTCTCACTTTTTAAGATTTTTGTTAATAGCTTTAAAAGTTGTGTTTTGTTTTCTTAATTTGCATTTCTTTGATTACTACTGGGTGTGAACATTTTTCAAGTGTTTATATTCTATTTGTATTTCTTTTTTTTTTTGGATTGTGTTGTCTTACTCTTTTTCTTATTGATTTATACAAGTTACCTCATTATGTGTTAATATTTACCTCTTCACTATGTTTTCTCAATTTGGCTTTTTATTTTTCTATCTTGATGTATAAAAGTGTTTCCTTTTTCTTACGTTTTATTATAATCTTTGCTTTTGTGATTTTAACCACTTCATTTTTTTCTAGTTGCAGTTTATACTACTATTATATTTATTTTAACTCTTCTTTAATTATTCATATATTTGACATACAGATTTTAGTATACTAGGCTCTGTTTCTGAATTTTACCAAAGTTGCTCTAATCGTTAACCATCAATTATGGTAAATAATTGTTTATGTTGGTTTCAGATAGGTAATTTTATGTTGAGGATGTTACTTTTCTAGTCTTAATTATTAAAATTGATGTGAAGATTTTTTATTTTTAAAATAAATTTAAGGAAATGTTTCTATTATATCATTTGTTAATCACAAAATTCATCTTCTTTGACCTGTTGGACTATTTTATAAAATTTTTTCTATACTATCTTTTCTCAGACATGTTCTGAAAATTATTATAGATGGGCTTCAAACAAATGTAAGGATCCCACTTGATAGGAGTTTCCAAAGCCTTTAATATACTGAGGTTTATATGTGCCATACATTATAATATTTTCTGGGAGAAGATTCTTCAAGGGATAGTCTGAGTAATATTGATTTATATAAATTATATTCAGTAAGTACTTGAAAATGTCTTTACAATACATACTAGATATAATGTGGGAATATTTTAATAGATTTAATCAAAGCCACTTGATACAAGGTAAGACTGCATTTGATACAACAGAAAGCCATGATATAATAAGCTAGTTTTGAAACATTTTCTCTTTTAAAAAACATTTGAACATTTTGGAAATGAACTTTAATTTTTTATAGTCTATGAAATTTTAAAGAATCTATGGGTATATTCCAAATTTCATAGTGCCAAACATGTCATTTCTAATGTAAGTGAAAGACCTCTTCTAAAATTTCAATACATGATGATTATTCTGAACAGTCTTCAGTTTTCTTTTAAACTTAACATGATTAGTATAGAAGAACAAAGTATTTAGCCTCTTAATATTAATGTAGCTGCTATAGCCAAGTAAATCAAATATCAAATATATTATTACTTGTTAGTAGCTTTTTATATATTTAAAAACAGTACAAATATGCAGTTAACTTTTCCTCTCCATATTAGATATAGAATATGCTTTATGTCAAGTCATGATTTTATAACATTTGGAGGCTTTATAAAGTAGAAGTTACAAAGAAGTACATCTAATTAGTACTTATTACTGAAAATATTAGGCAAAAATATCAGTTTTGACATTTTTAACAGATACACTGAATTTAATGCATATCTGATATTTGACAAATACTATCTTCAATAAAGTCTTTGTATTATTATGAAAGATATAAGGGCTATGATCTTCCAGTATTATTTTACTGGTACAGAAAAGAAATTGAATAGCTTGGCTTCTTCTGTTTCTTTTATTCGTCAACAAACAGTTTTTATTTTTCTATGTGCTGGGATTACAGTGATAAATATAAAGTCCCTGCTGCAGTGAAGTTTAAAATTTTAATGAATGAATCAGACAAACTATATGTATAAGATAATTACAGATTATAACAAGTCACATAAAGTAAAATAAGAAAATATAATGAGAGATGAAGGTAGGGGCATGCTGGGATGGCAAGTTGTGGCCACAGAATTTTGTCTTAGAGAACTAAAGGGAATGTTAATGTATACCAAACATACTAATATACAATATTGGTTATGTAAAACTCCTTAGAAACTGGTAGGAAAACTAGCCTCATGTTTATATACTATACTATTTGTGCTGATACAGTGTACTCTTTTTAATGTCTTATTGTGAGGATTAGCTAAAATTTTATTTTGTTTTTCTTTTTTAAGTTATTTTTAAAAGATTTTATTTATTTATTTTTAGAGACGGGAAGGGAGGAAGAAAGAGGGGGAGAGAAACATCAATGTGTGGTTGCCTCTTGCATGCCTCCTACTGGGTACCTGGCCTGCAACCCAGGCATGTGCCCCGACTGGGAACCAAACTGACTACCCTTTGGTTCAGAGGCTGGCACTCAACCCACTGAGCCACACTAGCCAAGGCTATTATTTTTCTTTGTAGCTATTATATTTTAGTACACAACATAATACAGTTGACTCTTGAACAACATTGGGTTTGTGGCCCTGATCCCCATACAGCTGAAAATCCATGTATAACTTTTGACTCCCCCAAAACTTAGTTGTCCCTCAGTATCTGCAGGGGGTATGTTTCAGGACCTCTGCAGATACCAGTGTCCACAGGTGCTCAAATTCCCTGTATAAAATGATAGAGATCAATTCATGCACTTGGCTCTCTGCTTCCATGCACTCCCAACTGCTGATCGGAAACAGAACAGGTGTTTATTGGAAAAATTAAAAACCCACGTATAAGTGCATCCACACAGTTAAAACCTGTTGTTGAAGAGACTACTGTACTGCTTTTATCTTTGTAGACATTGTCAGCCTAGCTTTCCTATTCTTAAAAAAATATAAAAGGTAAATTGTTGAATTTACATCATTGATTTGTCACCTCTCTGGACCAGGAACTTTTCGTTTCATCTTATTTTTGTCTGTAGGAGGTGCACCCCTAAATGATAGAGGAAGAGAAAGATCTTCAAATAATCCTGCCGTAACCCCACAGCAAGCTTCCTTCTATATATTTTCTTGACTTTAGTATTTTTACCATGCAGAGAAGAACTGTGTTTTTTCAAGGTGTTCAGTCTTCTGTCACCACCTTTGGTAGCAATGTCCTGCTCTTTCTTATCCATCATCAATCATTACTTGCCTTTGTCCAGAAAGCAGGCTACTATTTTCAAGTCTACTATTTATTATCACTATTGTTTCAGAATGCAGTTGTTGTTAATAGAATGAAAATAAAAGGTAGAATAGTGGGCTGAATTTACCTAAGAAAAATAAAGCATTCAAAGTCCTTTTGAGTAGCAAAACTAAGAGAGCGCATCATCTCATATTACCATGTTAGAGCATCAAAGGGGCATTTTTCTCAGGGTTGTTTTTTTTTTTTTTTTTTTTTTCTGTAAAATAGATGAGCCTGAAGGTCTCTTACATATTCACATACA